GATCTGGGGAGCACATATCCCCATGCCCTCCCAGGGTGCACACAGCAGTAGGAGCTGCTCTCGCTCCCCATACCCCCCCAGACAAGCTGCAGCTCTGTCCCGCACCCCGCCCTGCTTTGGCTGGGCAGATCCTACCCCTGACCCTGCCCTAGCCCCACTTCCTCCCTCACTGTGGTCACCTCTGCCCCCCTCCATGCTTCTTCCCTCCCCTTCCACCACAGACTTACCAGCTGGACCCAGCTCTCCAAGCTGTCGGGCTGTGCTTCTCGCTGCCTATGTGCTGCGCTGCAGCTGCGCGCATGCACGGGGCATTTATCGGCCACATCAGGCAAAAAAAGCCTATTTCCAATACAGTTAATTTTCTTTATATCAGCTCCAATCCGCTACTGGACTTATGTATCTGTGTACCTCTAGCAGTGAGCGAATTCTCACTAATAGTACTGGAAACCAGGAGCTTTACAAGGTACTTTGAGAACTAGAGTAACTAAACTACAAGGAATCAAATGACAATACAAACTCATGGTGGTAAAGGTATACAAATACAATATCAAGGTCTTATATTAAGTATCCAAGATAACATAAAAAAGAAAAAAAATCCTTAAAGAATAAACTTTGTTTCTTCCAAGCATCAACAACGTAGCTCAATTAAAATGCAGGACACTGTCACAATATACTTGAAAATGTTCATGAAAGTTGCCCAATCACCTTGACAGTCTAAGAGGAAAATTTAAAAGGGAAAAAACTGAAGAACGTTTTCCTACTAAGCAGTTCAGAAGCAGTCTACATTCCTGGCTTTCATTCAGATAGATTATATGCAAGGAAAGGAATGAGGAACCACTGGGAAAACATGTAGGAATTAATCTGACTTTAAAAATAAAGTCCCAAGAGCTATATGGTAAACTGGAAAACTAGTTTTTGAATTTTGCTAATTATGTTTTCTTGAATTTTCCTCTTTTAAACAAAAGTTATGGCATAAAAACACTTCCCCATTCACCACCCCAAAAAAATTAAAATGTGACAATTCACTCAACACTCAAAAGTTTCAGTGTTTTATTTTTTCTTAAATCTACAAAAGAAAAAAAAATATTCTAAAAAATTAAAGATAGGGTGATAATCTTCTAATCTTCTTTGTTTCTATCTCACTATGCAGGAGCCCAGAGAAGTTAATACCTGAAGTCACAAGTCAGCTGGTAATTAGAATGCTATAGAGTCACATGGAGACATTACATTTACCATGTAATTAACTTATTGATCATGCAATAAATTGTAGCCACGTGCTCAGCCAATTTATGGTATGATAAAATGGCACACCAAGTCCTTGCACGTTAAATGGTTCACAGAGCCGTTTCAACTTGCTGGTGCCAGGCTCTTGACAGCACATGCAACTAGGGATCAGGGACAACTAAAACCAGAACAGATATGGGACATCCCTGACCCCCAGCTGCATGCGTCAGAACTTGTCTATTGGGATCTGAGGAATTTTATGCCCCATTCCAAAAATCACACATTCTGCCCTCCATGTCTGGAATGGCGGCAGTATGCCCAATTCTTGCAACTGGGCCTAAAATTTCTCAGATCTCAATTCTACAAGTATATTAATTTATGTCAGAGGCCTTGGGACATCAGTCTGAAGACCTGTCCACAGAAAGTACCAACAAACTCTCTCACAACTGCTAAAATAATGATGCAGAGGTCTTGATGGGAACATGGTAAAGAGGAAATGAAAGGGAAATGTTTGGGATAAATGAAATTAAGCTGTTAATATACTAGGAAAATTCCAGAAACAAACAAAAAAGCAATATCCTCCAAAAAGCATCAATTAAAAGTTAAAATGTACTTGTACTTTACTATACAAGTAAAGAATTATTCAGCTGTTTAATACTACATTTTAAACAGCAATAGATAGCCATTACATATACTTAAACAAGAACCAGAACTCTTGGATGTGGAGTAGAGAGTGGAATTTGGAAAGAGAATTCTGAGTCAAATATTTTCCATCACTAACAGGCCTAAAAATAAAATTTGAGGAACTACAAGAGTTAAACTAGACTTTGGTGTTATATACTTTTTATATATATACAAAAATAGAGCTCTTAACATATATTATTTTAACTGTTTTAATTCAAGTTCTTGCTAGCATTTGAAATATCAAATATCACACTGGAATGCTGGTTTCCACAGCACAGATTACACCATGGAAAAATAAGTTGCTCTTCCTGCCAGCACAGTATGCTCTACTAACATGAGATTCCCAAAACAACCAATAAAAATTTACTACACTGCAGTGTAATGTGAACTCCCTTGTCTGTCAATTTTTAAGCTGAACTATCAACATTAAGATATTACAAAAATCACAAATAATGCCATACAAAACATTAAACACTTATGTTATATATCTTCTATTATCTCTTGGATTTACTGCCTAAAATAAATATTCAAGGGAAATAAAATTCTGCAAACCTGTATAAAGTAGGCATATTCAATTACATAATAAGAGTACTTGTAAAATAAATTCTAATATTTACATAATATGGCATTAAAGTTGTAAGAGTAGTTTTGTTCAAATGTGGCAGTTGGCATTTTACCATTAATTCATGCTTCAAAATGTTCCAAAAATAAAAAAAAAAGAATGTCTTAGAAAATCTCATGCAGGGATGCAGGGGGACAGTGACTTTAACTTTAAGACATGGAAAAATATACTAGATAGAAATATTTCTGCTGAAGTGAAAAGCTTCACCATCAATAAAGCTTAGCAATATTATCTGAATATTATTTTTTTCAGGAAACTCAAGTATTAATTATTCAGGATATGTGAGTTTGGCAGAGAAGCGCTCTCTATACATTTGAAACTGTTTATAAATATGGACAGTTGATTGAAACGCAAAAATCAGACTTCTTTTCTTGGTTCCTTGAATTAGGGTGAAAATTTGTGGCACCTTAAAATAAATCACCTAAAATGTTTTTTGTTTTCATTAAGAACAGAACTTCATATTGATTTTAACTATAAAAAATACCTACAGTGAAGACAACATTTTAGGGGCATATCTGGAATCCAACCAAACTGTATATAGGTAAAAGTAATGGGAAAGGCATGTACACAAATGTAACATAAAGCTCATCTTTGATGGGGCAAGTGCGGAGTAGGGGAGAAGTCTCTATAACTAATACTAATCCTATTTCTAACTCTAGACTCCTATCAACTTGTCTCTCTCCCGATCTCTATTTTGGGGTCCCCAACCATCCTGCATAGTCCAGTGGCATGCCCTGCAGGTCAGAGTTGTTCCAAGCAAACTTAAAATTTAACCTGATTTAATTCTGATCAATTTCAATGTCACTAGAGTCTGAACAGAAAAAAAAAAAACTTGAATGTAGTTGATTTCACTCTAATGCTACTGCAGAAGCCCTGCGACATATGTTTTGAAATACAGGTATGGTCAGTAAGTTCTGACTGTAACCCTAGCCTTTCTATAAGCAAAGTACACTAATTACCCTGACAAACATTACATTTACAACACAATTAACATGTTAACTGCACCACAAATTGTAACATGACGCACTCAACCAACCTACTGTGTGATAAAACAGCAAACCAGCTGTAAAATTTTACATTTCATGTGCCATATTTAATACAGAGCAGCTTTGTGGCTGGTTTATATCACACTTCAAATTCAATGTGTGACGTGTCCCAGACCTATGCTGCTCTGTGCCCCACCCAGAGAATCCACTGACTAACATCAAGGGGTCAGGCATGGGGTCTGAGACACAGCCACCTCAGGTCCAATCCCTGGGATTAGACAGAGGGCAGCCCCGAGTCCCGGACCTGGATGTCCCCTGTCCAACCACCAAAAGTATCCCCATGCCTGGCATTTGGAGACATTCCCCCACGTAAACAACCACCCTGTGTGCCCATTAGAAGACACCCTGGTGCAGTCCATCACTGAGAAACTGGTTCCTCAATGGTAGACTGCACTGGTGTTGCCAGTACATGGGGAGCCCAGCATACAGAATCCTGTCCTCCTAAGCTGATCTCCTGGCACAGGCAACCTAGCAACTGGAATCTGAGGAGTTTTATTCTTGATTCTCAAAATTGTGCATGTGATTTTGCACAACTGGCATGACAGGATATATGATTTTGGGGATCAGACATAAAATTCCTTAGATACCAATGGCATGATCAAATGCCAAGGGCCTAATAGCCACCACAACATTTACATCTCTCAGAAATCTGATGAAATTCCTCATTCATTTCAATTTAACGCACTCATATTCTGTGACAAACAAGAAAATTATTTGATCATTTCCAAACCTTTCAGTGGCTCCGTGAGCAGAAGTAGCCCGAGCACACTGAATTTCATCCTCCAAGCGCCGTTTTTCTTCCTCCAAACGTGCTAAATCTTCTGGAGATCGCCTCTGCTGACTGATAAGCTGTAATTCCTGAAGAAGAGCCTCTTTCTCTTTTATGAGCTGAAGACGGTCCCTGTCCGCCTCAGCCATTCCTGGCCAAGATTCATTATCTAGCAATGCCAGCTGCTGCTGTATATTGGAAACCCTTAAAAATAAAAAAAAGAGCATAGAAGACAAAGATGAAGATCAATAATAGGAGAAGAAAAACAACAAACATTTGGAACAGCTGGTCAGGGGAATCAATTCCAGTTCACTTTCCACTTCCTTACTTCAATCGCTTCAACTTAGACTCTAAGCAACATCTGAATTTAATAGTGCCAAATTGAGGGGTAACAAACTTAAACTTGACATCCACCATCTGTATGTTTAATTAAGCAAAATTTAAACTGCATTAACACTAGAATGGACAGTGTTATAATAGTAATTTTACATCATGTTAATTCATATTCCAGAGCTGTTACAATTAAGATGCGTCAAAACTCCCATAATGGAAGGAGGGGGCGAGGAAAGAGGGGCAACTGCCCTGGCTGCTGACCTGGGGAGAGGAGGGGAGGGGAAAAGAAAGAAGTACCACTGCTGTCAGCTGTATGTTCACTAATCAGAAGTTACTGTTTACTAGGCCTGTGCAAATAGGGGAGTATTCAATTCGGATTCAGCCAATTCGGAGGACAGTGATTCAATGTGGTGATTCAAATCACTGTACCCATTTAATATGGCTGAATCAGAATTGAAGATTTGGCACTGATTCAGATCAGCCAGAGAGATGAAGGCACAGCTGGGCAACTGCGCCTTCAGCTGTGCCTGACTCTTCCCGGGTGGGGGAGCCACAGGAGAAGCCGCCATGGCTGCCTTGCACGGCCCCATCCCCCGCCTGGCCCCAGCCTAGTCCCGGCACTTAAAAAAAAATAAAAAGAAAGAAAAAGCCCCGCACTCATCGGCTGCAGCAGCTGTGATTGGGACCTTTGGGCACCCGTGGAAGAGCCCCCCGGCACAGCACAGGACAGTGGGGGGCAGCAGGGATCACCCTCCCCACCTGGCACCCATGCGGCAGCTGTCGCATTGTATGGGTGCAGTGTGGCTCGGCAGGGTGCCGCGCGATATCTGGGAGCTGGGGTCGCTGGGACTGAGAGGTGCCGGGCTCTGGCTGACAGGTGGAGACGCCCCAGCTCCCAGAGTGCTTGGCACCCTGCCTAGCTACACTGCACCCACGCCATGGGACAGCTGTCATGCGGGTGCCAAGCAGGGCAGGAGGGCAATCCCTGCGGACCCCCATTGCATGGGGGGGGCTCTGCCATGAGCCCTCAGAGACCCTGATCACCGCTGCCAGAGCCAGTGAGTACAGAGCTTTTATTTATTTATTTATTTATTTATTGAAGTGCCAGGAGGCGGTTGGGCAGGGTAGTCATGGGAGTTTCTCCCATAGCTCCTCTGGCTGTGCCTGCCTTTGCCCTGGCGGGGGGAGCTGTGGATGTTATCCCCTGCTGCCACTTGCCCAGCCGGGGTGGGGG